AAGAAAAGCTTTATTCTCTAAGTTTGAGGAGACCTGCCGAATGAAAAGTCTCATTTAGGCTTAGTGTCACTGCAAAATGTCCCACTGGTGGTCAGTTGGGTTCAGATTTGGTGACTTTAAAGACCATAGCCTCCCACTAGCACCACTGTCACAGTCACACCTTTCTCCTGTTGGTCACCACCTAGTTAGGCTTTAGGTCTTCAGTGCAAATTCTGGAACTTATAAGCAATGCTGTTGAGGATAAGTGACAAATTGAAAGCAAATAATAATAATAAACCAATGGAAGTGCCAGTACTATAGCACTAAACAAGTTAGGGAGCATTTAGCTTAGCCTATCTAACCTTTATTGAGTTTCTGTCGACACTAGCGGACTTGGTATAACATGATGAGATGAAGGCCTTAACTCTGCGGTGCATTTATCATTAATGCACTTTTGCAGTACCTGTGCAGAGGACAGCAGCAAAGACCCAGCACTGCCCATAGCGCACGGGACTGCAGTTGGATGACACCCAACGATGAAGGATGTCGGCGCTCCCACTCCAGTCCGTAGGCTTGATGCCGGCTTGGTAGCTTCCGTTCCACTTCCCCTCCAAAATACCCAGGTCATCGTTACAGTTCACCTTAGACAGAAGGAGACACGTTTCTGATCTTTATTTCTGCACTGCACCGTAAAGCTGCAGAAAAACATTGTCAGTAAATTCCAGATATGTTGGCACAGCATTAGAAACAAGCTGAAGGGTGATGCATGTGCGTATCAGGACATATTTATTGCACTGCTTGTCTTGTTGTCTCACCATAGCGCAGAGCACCCTGCTCAGGTAGACGGGGTCTGCTCGTAGCATGTAGTCCGTGTGTTTGTCGCTGAGGTGTTGTGGGCTGACCTGCAGGAGCTTCAGACACGCTTCCAGCACGCCGGGTTCATACTGCACACATAGAAGTACACATGTGGCTGTGTGCTGGTCTTCACTGCTGTCTGATATTCCTGCTATGCTGTCAGGTGTCACATACCTGACCAAACGACCAGGGCCGCTTACTAACATTCAAATGGGTGCCCATGTAGATCAGCCCATAGTCGCTCCTGAGGTACTCTTCTAAATGAACGTCCAGTGGCATGTGCACTGGATCATCTGAAAAGCAGCGGCAGTGTTGTGGAGTGACTTCTGAAACAGGGTGATAGACGACAGCAGCAGCTAATGCTGACACACTGACTCACCTTTCAGCCAAGGGTTGTAGAGCAGCACAAACGTTCCCACAACGTAACTCCTCCTGTGCCGTATGGCTTCTATGTGGAGCAGGAGGTCATACAGAGCCACCGAGCACAGAACCGGGGAGCAGATGTGGACGATGACCGACTGAGGATGCGTGTTGCCCGGGTAGAGGGTGGCTGACCAGCCTTTAGGTTTGCACCGCTCTTTAGAGAACAGGACTGGGATCCTCTCTGACAGACCACCTGTGAGGTAAAAGAGAGAGCACTTGAAGCTCACCTTAATGCTACATAAAGTACAATTAAAATACATAAAGAATAAAATGCAGTAACTCAGTGCACTTGGGAGTCTTTCTGCTGCAGCCACAGTTGATTTGACATGTTTTCTATTGTTGTATGATACCTCCCTGTTCCCCAGTGAGCTGGGTTTGTATGATAATGGGGGCTCGTCCAGATATTTCATTTTCATCCCACTGTTACAGCCCCTGGTGGCTATGTGCCTTCTTTGTGGTGGATCCTGTGTAGCCTCTGTGTGGGGAGATGGTTTGTGCAGACTTTGGAGCATGACTGACCTCACCTGTCTGTCATCATAGACCAGGGGTGTCCAATCCTGGTCCTGGAGGGCCACAGTCCTGCATGTTTTAGATGTGTCCCTCTTCCAACACACCTGATTCAAATGATCAGCTCATCATCAAGCGCAGCAGAAGCCTGATAACGATCCTGATCATCTGAATCAGGTGTGTTGGAAGAAGGGAAACATCTGAAACATGCAGGACTGTGGCCCTCCAGGACCAGGATTGGACACCCCTGTCAGAGACGATTGGCCTGGAGCGCCAGACCTGCACTCCAGCCCTCATTCCTGTGCCTGCCTACAGCTGTGGACTAACTGGATCACCACCCAGTTCCCTCCACCAGTCAAATTGCAGCAATCAGCACACCTGGGGTATAAATCTGGGACCAAACTCACAATCAGGGTGGCTGTGATTTAACATTGGTGCCTTTTCTCTTTGTAAGAGATGGGTATTCGCTCTGAAGCACTGTGCCTTCACCCTGAGTCAGCTGGGATAGACTCCAGCCCCCCATGACCCTACTGAGGATTAAGGTGTAGAGATAATGGATGGATGGATGGAAATGACATAGAGCTCCTTTACAGGTGAGCAGCCCTAATCCTCTCTTCGGTACCTAGACAAACCTCCAGCACCAGGTTCTCAGTGCGAGGATTCCACGATCTGCTGTGGAAGAGCAGCGTGAGCTTGAAGGGTTTCCCTCGTCGCACCACCAGGTGTTTGTCGCTGAGTCCCTGGGTCTCATGGGAAATGTGGTTCTCATGAGCCTCAAAGTTAACAAACTTCAGTCGACAGCCATGGTGAACGCCTGGAGAGACAGTTAAA